ATATGGTGGATTGCTACTGGAATTGGCTCCAAATTGTAACAATGCTGCAACCATAATTTAATCAACTTATTCAATAGAATATCCCAACTTCAACAAATATTAGTTACATTAAGAAAGTATGCTATTTTTGATAATTTCAAGAGAAAAAAAATTAAGTACCCTTTAAGTATTTTATTTTAAACAGGGATTTCATTTGTCAACACTCTTAATTAAAAAATATTTCAATTAATGGATTGATAAAAATATTAATATTCAACTTTCATATTTAATTAAAATATTTTTTTTAAATGAACCAGATAAAAAATCTATAGAACTTAATTTCTTTGCAATTATACAAAATAAAAAATATTATATTTTTAGACCTTTACATTTGTAATTGGTATCATAACATATGATTATAATTCTTAAATAATCTTCATCATTCTCAAGTACTTGTTTTTTTTAACTGTAATTATTCTGGAAGAAAAATAAAGTATTTAAAATGTTTAAGTGGACCTTCAAAGCATTTAAATAAAATTGTTGTTTGCAGCAAATGGCTTTTAGGAATAAATTTTCTTGACACCTGTACTATATTTAGTACCTGTATATGCACTTTAATTTAAAATGAGTACAATTCTGTGATCGTTTGAACATTTAGCTCATATTTCTCACAAAAACCAATATAGCCTAATGAAAATATATATATATATATATATATATATATATATATATATATATATATATAAATTTTTCTATTATGGAGGCTTCAGCTCTTAATTCATAAAATAAAATAAAAAACGATAGTGTGTGCTTAAGACCACACAATAGAACATCATTGTTCAAACATCAAGGCTCAATTAACAATATGAAATATAAATATTTTATTAATCTATATTCACAAAGTAATAATATTTACAATATATACAATTATGATTGTGTAAAAAATTACACTGGTATAAATTTTGCCCTGGCTAATCATTTGTATCATACTCTAAAAATGAAATGATATATAAAATATATTCGTCATATTTAATGTGACAATGTTTAGTAGGTTATGATTTGGTTTCTGACACTATATTTTTCCCTCTCTAAGAAGGCGTCACATCAAGATACAATTTTGAATAACATTTCATGACAAAGAGAATGAAATTCTGAATGTTTCCTTCAACTACTGTATACAGGCCCGATTTTTAGTTTCTGAGATATCTTAATCCTAATGCACCAATTAATCGACTCGAGCCAACATAACGAGAATGAGTGTTACATAGCTGATTTTTCTTGAGCACGACGACTCAATTTCATTCACTACCCACAAAAAATGTGCTAAGCGCCCCTAAAGAAGTTTTCACTTCAAAACAATTTAAATGCACAGCTACTAGAAAACTTTTTTTTTTGAATTGCTCTATATCCAATTTTATAGCAGAGGGGAATATAGAGAAGCATTCCATCAAAAGTAACTTTTTTCACTTTTGGGAAATTATTATGAAAGATGATCTATTATGATTGAAATAATAGATTTATATTATCTACTACACAGAGGAAAATTTAAATTATAAAATAAACTAATAAATCATTTTCATTTCTAGAATTTTATTAATTTCACAGAAAAATCTTAATTCGTGAAAAGTGGATATGCTAACTTTTGATAGAATGATCATTAATTTAACAATTTTTTTTTTTAAATGGAATAAATGGATTTAAATGATAATCCACATTCTTCCAGGGAGTTGAAATATGAAAAAATAAATTTGGCAACAATATCTGTTTTTTTCACATTTTAACTCTCTACAAGAATAGGGCTTTTTATTCGGAATCCAATTATATCAATGATATCATTTTTCAAATAATTGACTTCCTTAGTTTTTTCCTCTGATCCAAAGATTGTAATTTAAAATATGTGTAAATAACTCTGAGAAACATATTATTATATGTTAATTTATCCAATTCTCTAAATATCTTCTATTATAAGGAAGAGGTGACAGATTTTTAAGTATGTGATGAAGAATGTCAGTTGGTTTATATGAAAATGAAGAAATGTCAAATCAAGAAAAATAGACAGTGACAATTTATATATACTTTACATATACCTGGATTCCCAACTTAAGACACGTGTTCTGTTCTATAATGTGGTACACTGGGGTTTAGAATTGGCAAGCGGCTGACAAGTAAGTCTTTGAATTTTTTTATTCTTAATTTGTTGTTTAAAAGAAATTAAAATTCTTCCTGAGATATAAGTGTATATTAGACTCATCATGAAGGCCTTAGGGTGGTGCAACTGGGGCAAATGCTCTAGGACGCTGACTTGGAAGGGCCCTCGCCACTTGTAAGAAATAAAAAAAGTTACAAAACGTATTAAAATAATTAATTAATAGTAAACTAATCTTTAAAAAAAGATGTACTACTTTTAACCTGCATCAGTATTTGTTTTTTTTTCTTATGCCAGTCGTTGGTCATTTGGCCATCCGACATCTTGCTGCCCAGTATAATTTAGACTTTCTGATATGTATATTTGAAAATATTTTTTCTCTTATGTCCCTCAAGGCAGGACATGCGTCTAGATGGTCTGCATCCATTGTTCCTTGATGACACAAATTACAGGTAGGATCCTCAGCGACGCCTATCTTGTAGAGATGACTCTGCAGACAGTCGTGACCAGTAGCCAGGCGGAAGCAGGCAACTGCATCTCTTCTCGGCAGCTCAGCTGGAATCGAATTATCCTTCAACCACTCGTAACGCTTCCCTTCCACTTTGCCAAAATGTACTTTTCTTATTTCTTCCTTCACTACTATCTTTACCATCCGCCGTATTGAGTCGTAGGGTTTTCGATGTATCGGCTGAGGCAAATCTGTTCCTCCCTTGGCAAGACTATCAGCCTCAACGTTACCCGGAATCCCACAATGGCTGGGGATCCACTGTAGGACCACATTGGTGCCTCGGTGTGTCAGGTTAGAGAGGAGGGATTTACATTCCAATATAGCACTTGATAAACATTCATTCGTGCTTGTAACACTGAGGATGACTGCTTGGGAGTCGATGAAGAGAACAGCGCTCTGATCCCACCTTCTAGACAATGTTGTTAAGGCTATGAGGATCGCCGCTATCTCACCGTCGAAATTTGTTCCATCTTTACCCACCGCAGCGCTGATTTGGAATTCCCTTGAGTAAACCCCTGCTCCAGCATTTTTAACGGCTGATTCAGCTGATCCGTCGGTATAGATATGGAGCCAATCTTGAGGAGGGTACTTTTGAGCTATGGTTTCTAATGCTAATGCTTTTAGCTCGTATTCAGTTGTTTTTTTCTTATCCACTTTATGAAGGAGTTGCAGTTCTGCATTGCATGCGTGATTGTGAATTGGTAACTGTGGATGTATAAATGGTTCCCTTTCTTCGCAGTCAAGCCCTCTTTCTTCAAGTAGTGCCATCGCCTTCAGCATGAAGGATTTTTGAGTCTTGAGCCGTTGAGAGGGGATTTTGTATTTTTTCCAAAACTCTTGGTCTATTCTTTTCATTCGCTCGTGAAGGCACATTGCAGCTCGCTCACGCCATTTCGATAGAGGTTCTACTGTGGTCTGCAGTTCGATAGCTACAACAGGGGTTGAGAGGGGTGCACCCAAAATCAAACGCAGAGCTTTGTTCTGCTGGTCGTCTAATCTTTTCAGGGATACATCTGCCGCAGTACAGATGACTTCAGAACCGTATTCCAGTACTGGGCGTACATAGGTTTTATATGCAAGAACCATCACATCCTGGGCGGCCCCCCATGTCTTTCCTCCAAGGCGTTCAGAAGTTTTAGTCTGTTTTTCCCCTTTTCCACCATCTCTTCAATTTGTCTGTTCCAGATCATTTTTTATCTAACCTAACTCCCAGATATTTGCCTGCATAGGTTCTTGGTAAAGGAACATTATTGTAGATGATTTCCAGCTCGAACCTCTTTTGTTGATAAGGTGAACAGTTGGAATTCAGTTTTCTGCATATTTACTTCCATTTCATTACACTTGGCCTAGGTAAAAAGTCTTGCCATTGCCTCATTAATTGCTGCTTCGAGAGCTGTTATGTTGCTACTAGTCGCATAGTAGATCATCAGCGAACAGTAGAGCAGATATCCCGGGTATTCCCTCGAGTACAGCCATTAAGTCATCAATCATTATATTAAAGAGTGTGGGGCTTAAAACAGATCCTTGTGGAACTCCCTGACTAAAAGTTCTGAAGCATCTTACTCTGAGAAACCTCTGGGCCAAGGAGCGTATGGCTTGGTACATTTTTCCACTGATGTTCATTTTGAGAAGTTTATTCAAAAGTACTTTCCGGCAGACTCTGTCAAAAGCAGCTTTAAAATCAACATATACTGCAAGAGTATGTTGTTTGCGTTGGAATCCGTCTTTTACATCCTCACTAAAACGAGCCACCTGCTCAGTTGTACATCGGTGCTGCTTCCAGAAACCTACTTGCTTTGATGACATCTTGTTTTCTCTATCAAGATATACTGCAACCGGGCTAGGACCATTCTCTCGTAGAGCTTAGAAAAAACACTTGAGTGATATAGGTCGGTAGTTAGATGGGCAAGAAGAACAATTACCTTTCTTGAGAATTTGGGGAGGTACGATGTGTCCCTGTGTCATGAAGTGTACATTCAGTACTACAATAAAATGCATCAGTATTTGTCCACGAGTTCATACTTACACAATTATATTTTTGTTTACAGCTTAAAGTAGGCACAGCAATATTTTAATATCAATTAAATTAAGTTAAAAAACTTTAAATACATAAATGTAAGACAATTCTGGCCAATTATTAGCTATTTAAATATGAGATTGGTTTATCTTTATTTCATGTCATTAAAAAATTCACTAATTCCAGAACCTGGGATTGAATGGCAGGAGTAGGTACCACCATTTGATGTTTGCCAACACAATCATAGGACAAAAAGGGGTTTATATGTAAACTGTGAGAAAGACTGGTCTTCAGCACAGAAATGTTAAAAAATAAATTGGAAAAAAGTAAATTATTAATAAACAACAACATAAACAGATAATTATTTATTTCATACATCAGAAAAAATGCAGGATTATAAATTAAAGAATATACAGCAGTATGTTTTACAGTAATACATATTAAACAGAATACTAACACCTTCACAGAATTTATGCAAAGGTTATAAAAGTTTACAAACACAACCACTCCTAAAATATTATACATAAAGAGAATTTTTTTTTCTTCAGGTTTTCACATTCCCCAAACTCATTATAAAAATTCTAAAATTTCAAAATATATACTACATATATTTACAATCTTGTGATTACAAATCAAACTACTTCATCAGTAAGATTAGTTGTAAGCATTACTTGCAGATAAAATTATTACCCATTTGCTTTGATTGTAGGTATAGCAACTAATAATTAACTTGAAATTAACACAAATATACTTAAACAAAATTTATGATAAAACTGTTGGCTAATATAACTGCAATGAGCAAATATTGGTAACACCTGACATTAATATAAAATAAAAATTCTATTTTTTTCCACATTGTAAAACTTCATTTTCAGATTTTTCAACTTCATTCTAAGTTACCAATATTATTTTAACAGACAAATTGCACTCCTCTCTATATAATTATTAACATCTTTTGTAATTATTTTCGGGAAAAATTGGTCCTGTAGTGTTTTATTAAATGATAATTAAAATATGAAGTGTCATTCATAGCTTGGTATAAAATGTGTGCATCAAATTCATAAATATAAGATGACTTTTAAATTCAAAAACTATTATTTAAATTAAGATTTTCTTCTGTGATATAAATCTAGTCATGATTTATTACAATGTCGAACACAAAACAAGACACGTTAAAAATCTATTCCATATTAAAAAAAAAAAAAAATTAACACAAACTAGGTAAATGTACCAACTGAATCGAGAATTTTACTTCATGACTACAAGTATACTTCTGTCATCAGAAATAAAACAAATGAAAAACCAGTGCTGATAAAATAAATTTGGTTGTGAGAATGTGACTACCTCCTACGTCTTTTAGCCCTAGATCCAGAAGAAGAACTTGAAGAAGAAGAAGAAGAAGAAGTAGAGCTTGAAGATGAAGATGAGGATGAACTTGATCTTTTCTTACTCCCTTCTTCCCATCGAGATTTTGGTGGCTCAATTTTTGTTCTTTTATCTCTAGATCTAGATCTTCGGTCTCGCGATCTCCTCCTGTCATCTCGACTTTTATCGTTCTTCTGTAAATAACTACATGTTAATATGCTGCGAAATATTTATAATAAATAAGCCTAAAGAAAGGAAAAACTTGATCACTTAATTAAATAATTGAGATATCTATTGGAAGTTCTAAAGGGAACTAAGTAAAATAAAAAGAATTATATTTTTTGTTGACCATTTTATCATTTGGAGCAAGGCTCACTATAACAAGATTTTAAACATGTTAACTACCTGTCAACAAATCAGTTAGTTGAGGTGTCCAATGATATAGCATTTAACTATTCAACCATAATTCTAGCATCTAAAAGCAGTAAAATTTAAGGTGATTTTTGTCAATTTATTGGATTAAAAAAAATAAAAAGGGTGAGAATTATATTTGGTCGACTTTTGATAAAATGTATGACTCAGTCTGGAGAATAAATTGGGACCATTAAAAGTTATTACCCCTGTTTGATATAGAGAATTTGTCACTTAAAATATTTGCTGAGGGTTCAATACTTTGCGAAAAATAAAAACAACTAATAAATACAGTTGAGGCCTTTAAGATGCGAGGGGCCAGAATGGCGGCTGGAGAAATGCCCAAAATATTGCTTGCATAGCCAATCTATGGAACAAGAAGAAGAGGGAGACCAAGGCTGAGATGGTCGGATGGTGTGGCGGGAGACGTCCTCAGCATGCTGGCAGTTAGGAACTGGATGGCGTCAGTTAAAGGAGGCCAAGACCTGTAATCGTGTTATAGTGCCATGAAATATAGTACAGATGATGAAGCTTGAATGGTTGGAACAAATACATTATTTTACTGGTATATAAAATCTCTGGTGAGGAAAATTTTCCACCAAGTAAAATACATTAAATTGATGGAGGTGATAGGGGCAATCCACAACTCAGGCTCAGTATCCAGGGCGCCTTTTAATCAGCCCAGTATAGTCAGTATTTATTCAGCCTTCGGGCAACATTGTACAGTCAGTATTCAGTGTCATTTGCCAGTCTTTACAGTCAATATGTCATTTTCTATCCAGTCCCATCAGATCACAGCTCTGGTTTTCATCAACCAGAGGATTGTTAGGAGAGTGTTGAAAAAAATGACTATCATAGTTGATCAACTGAGTATATTAGTTTATCTATTTTTCAATATCAATAAACAGTAGTCATATTATTTAATAAATCTCAAATTATTAATAGTACACAAACTATAAATCCCTCAAACAAATAAATAATGTTTCTTATTCATTAATATAAAATATGTTGACATTAGTAAAATAATTAAAGTATTACTTTATGTTACTATAATATTTTATATACTCACTCTTGGTTCAGGGTTTCTATGCCTCGTATCTTTCTCTTTACGAGGTTCTAAAGCATGTCGCCTATCTTTCTTGTGATCATTCTTAGTGTCTTCTTTTTCTTTGTCTTTATTTCTATTTTCTTTTTCTCTATCCTTATCCCTTCCCTTTTCTCTGTTATTTTCCTTTTCTTTTTCCCTGTCCTTTCTTCCCCTGTTCTCCTTCTCACGGTCTCTGTCTCTAACCCTATCTTTTTCACGAGGACGATCTCGTTTATCTTCTCTGCTGTTTCTCTCTCTATCTCGCTCCCGTCTTGTTTCCTTTTCTCTTTCTTTTTCCTTATTTTCATTCTTTCCGATTGCTGCAGCCATTTTTTTCTCGCGCTGTTTGGAATTGCTTTCATACTTGTCACTAAAAAACAAAACAAAAAACACATTAATTTTGTTGGTTTCTGCCTCAAAATTATAAGTGATTTTCAGGAACATGAAAACCATTTGAATTGAAAAATGATATGTATTGCAGCAGGATATGTAAAACAATAATGACGATTGAAAAAAAAAAAGAAGATAAAAATGCCATGATATAAATAAATGACTATTTTCAAGGTAATCATTGATATTTATAATCATTTTTCTAAAATATTATTTATTATTTTTATTAGTTGATCTGCACCAGGCTACAGTTTTACTGTTGCTGACAGGCTGATCGTCTACAAAGTTTATGTAATCCACAGGTGGGGAAAATTTTCCTGGGAGACAAGTGAAAGGGACAAAACCAGTGAACTTATTATGAGAAAATTACTGTTAACTGATTGACATTGAGACTCTGGAATTTTAAGAGTTGAAGTGCTTATTAAGAAAACCTAATATAATATCATGGAGCTAGACCAGTTTGATTTAGACCATCATCTTACTACTCCAGAACATACTACACATTTGCCAAAGATGAAAACAAAACAAAGAATGGTTTATACTTAAACGAAAGGGACTAATGGATACTGTAGGAGACTTTTTTTTATTTTATTTAATTTACTCTTTTATTTTGTCCTGATTTTTTCTACAATGTGAAAAATTCAAGCAGAATCCCGATCTTCAAAGAATGCTCTTTTTATTATTAAACTTATTGTTTTGAGAAACATTAGTAGAAGGGCAGTTTTAATCGACAAATGATTAATTACCATAATAAATAGAAAAAAACTAGAAATATAAAAATAAATAAATAAGAGGTATTCACTCAGTCTGGGTGTTTTCTTCAGATTCCTTTTCTTCATGCCGCTTTTTACGCGCTTCTTCTCGTCTCTTTCGCTCTTCTTCCCTTTTCTGAAAAATGATTAGTGATACAATATTAAAAAACAGCAAAGAAATTTGAGAAAATGATTCTTGAAAGGTATTACCTAATATACAACAATAAAGGACTCTTAAGATCACTTAAGGTACTCACTGACTGAATATCCCAAGGATTTTTCATCTCTCCATATAATCATCATATTAAATCATAGATCTGCCTCATTCCAAAATTCCTTTATAGCCCGCTCTGTCAACTTTTGGAATTCCCTCCCGATCAAAATTCGACATGCCCCTTCCCTGTACACATTCAAAAACCTCCTATTCCAATTCCAAAAACAGTCAGATACCAGCTAACGATTAATATTATACATGTATTGTGTAGCAATCATATAATCATAACACTTGGTAAGAGATAGTACATGCATTTCCTACTATCGACGTAGGAATTTCAATACATACATTTTTTTTTATTTTTTTTTTTATTCAATTATAAATAACTGTTTATTTTCATATATATATTCAAGTAAAGTTTTTTTTTTTTATGAAATGAACTCATTGTATCTCTTTTTCGTTCTTCATTTCTCAAAGTGTATGTTTATGTTGTTCAACCCTTAAATATAATTTTGTTCATAGTTCAAATGATTCGTTCATAGTTTTAATTGTTTTATTCATAATTTTAAATGCTCTGTACATAGTTTTATCTGTATTGTATATAGCTTGTGTACCTAAGATTTCTTTACTTTTTATTTTATTTTATCAATTTTATTTATTGTTTCAACGTTCAGGCCAGTAATATTCTATTATTTTGTACATTATTGTTATTCTGAAGGGACTTAGTCCCAGAATAAAGTTTTTTTTTCTATCTATCTATCTATCTAAATGAATATCTATCTTTCATTATTAGAAAAGTCAAAACATCAGTTAAGCTGCTGAGTTATACTGTCTGAATGCTTTTACATGTAGTCCTGGACTGCCTGCCAAGAACTTTACCAGCAAAGAAGATACAAAAGGTTATAGGAAATTGTGGAAGTTACTTAATATTTAGATAAAAATTATTAACAATGTGAATAAGCTTATTAAAATTATAAACAGTGTAAATAGAAAGCACGTAGAAATATTAATAACAATAGACAGAGTAAACAAAGTATAACTAAGTAACAATATCCTAAACTGAATTAAATAAATGGTAACAATTGTTGTAGATTATTATAGTTGGGAAAAAATTGAATGTGATAAGGATGCATAATATATATAATTATGAATATAATCCTACAGATCATACGGAAAGATTGAAAGAAAAAGGAAAAATAATAAGAAATAATGGACATAAAGGGAGAGTGAAGAAACCGAAAAATAAATAAATGTTATTTGTTGATTTTTTTTACTCAGTTAAATTACATTGCTTATAATTTTTATAAAAAATTATGTAACTTATACAATTTTCTATATCCTTTTGTATGTTGTTTATTCTAGACCTGAAGAAGACCTGCAAAGTCGGGTCGAAATAAATAGTTTTTGCACTATTTTAGTCTTTTTATGACAACCAGACCATCTCCTTACTCAATAAAAATAAATAAATTATATTTACTTTTGCCGATGTTTCGGCCCAAAGTTCAGGCCTTCATCAGGGCTAAGGAAAGATAAGATAACACAGATATGAGAAACTATTAAACAGTAAAAGTAATTATCTTCCACCTACTCATGATTACTTTTTACTGTTTAATAGTTTCTCGTATATGTGTTATCTTGTCTTTTCTTAGTCCTGATGAAGGCCTGAAATGTAGTCAATATAATTTATTTATTTTTACATTTTTATTGAACACCCCGACAGTTTTCTCTTCAATACAAATTTTTAATATTTACTAATCAGTAAAACTTACCTGATATTCTGAAAATGATATTGTTCTTTTCATTTCCTGCTTCCAGTGAGGTGGAGTAAAGCTGCGTGAACGACTTCTAGATGGCGTTCTATATCTCTGTAATGGAAATATTAATTGCAATGGTGTTAAACATAGTATTTTCATAATTAAATCTATAACATTTCCTTACGAGGATCCCTCTGCCTTTTATTTTCTTTCCAGATTTGGTGTAACCTCTGAATGGTTGCCACTTCTGTCCCCTTTTATCTCTGCGACTACCTGATTCTCCTCTGTCCCGATCCCGATTTCTGTCTTTGTCTTTCTTACTACTCTTATCCTTCTCTTTCTCATCCTTATCATTTTCTTTATCTCCACGATATAAATAACTAAAAACAAAAAATACATCAGAAAATAAAATTCTACATAAACATTGCCCGATCATAGCAGAATAATTTTAATACATAAGTACCTCTTGGGGTCCTGTGGTATTTCATCAGGATTAATTTTAGTAATTGTTACTAAAGGATGCAGCTGTGTTTCATCAATCTCTGAACTTTCATCGCTTGAACCAGCCCTAAATAAAATTAATTTAAGCTAATTATAATAATAATCTTACAACTATAAAAGTTATGTTTGACATAAATTAATGCCGATAAGGATACTGAACAGTGGCTCAATACAGTAGCCTTTCAGATCCCAATTTTTAAGTTTAGAAATGTGTTTGTAGATGGTCATACATCACGGCCATCCTTAGGTAAAGAACATACTACCATGAATAAAAATATGAGATACAAAAAGCAATGAAATGAAAATATCAATTAAAATAAGGCTAATTTATTTTTAAACACATTTTGTATGGATATTATTAATGATATATAAATATACTTCGATAGTATCTTAACCTAGAAGACAACTAGCTTAGTAACTCAAATATTGGTGTTACTGATATGTTGGTCCAAAATATCAATGTCTGTATATCATCCTAACTCTCAACAAGTACATTAACTTCAACTTGTCTTTTGAGCTAATGGTTTATACAAGGCTCAAAGCACCTAATTTAAATAACTTCTGTAAGCTATAACTTTTGAATTAGAGCAGCATTTTGCAGCCAGAGGATATGTGGATGGACGACCACTGTGGTTGCCTGAATCTGGGGTAAAACAAGAAGCAGAAAGATGCGCTATTTGATTAACGGTTGGTATGAGTAGGATGGCGATCGCACATCGTAACATCTTAGAGGAAGGGAAGAGATTAGTCCCAGTAAATGGGTAGTCAATCTTGGCACAAGGTTTGTAAGGAAGTTTAATATAACACCTCACCTGGACTACTTGGTCAGTGAGATGACTTTCGCCTATATGTCTTTCCTCTGAATGGCAGAGCCTCCTGAGGCCTTCAACACCCAGGAACTTTGGCCATCAACAAAGAGTTGATACTGGATACTCGAACCTCACTAAATAACATAAGAATAAATTGGCATCTACCCAGATGAAGACTTTGTTCTACTACTACTCATAGTCTTGACTAACTGCCAAAATGGCTATCTGTTGGATCATTCTGATCGGGAATGGAGGCTTTTGATCACTTATGCCTCAATTATGTCTTCCAGGAAGCTACCAAACATGTAATCAAGAACTGCAATGCGTTTGAGGCACTGAGAGCCAAGCTGAAGAGAAGTAATCGTCTCTACAGCCTTGACGAAAATGACCGTTCTCTACTCTCTCTCCTCTGCAGAGAACTACCCATACTACTTATGAAGGCTTCATGCATGGGTGGAATAAAATAGAGGACATAGCACATTTTTACCAAGTAGTAAGGTGAATAAGGTAGCAACCCCCAAAATTTCTATCCGAAAAGACGGATGGATAGAAATGAACATTTGAACTTGCAGGAATACAAAGATGATGATGGATTTAGGAATAAATAATAGAAAACAGTAATATTGTTTTGTATAACGAAATTGAAACCCCATATCGTAGAAAAGCAAGGTAGGGAAAGGAAATGAAATAAATAAAATTAACCTACTTTTCTTTCTTCTTTTTGGATTTCTTTTTATCAGTCTTCTTCTTTTTCTTTTCTTCCTCCTCTTCACTTTCAGTATCTGAAGATTCTGATGATGAAGATGATGATGACGATTCAGATTTCTTCTTAGCTATAACAATATAATTATGTTATTTTACCCCATAAATTATGATTATTATTTATTTCAAATAAGAAAAGAGCTTGGTGAAGAAATAGATGATAGAGTCAAAAGATAATGAGATATATGAGAATGGAAGCGATCACTATCTCCTAAGGTTGGGCAAACTATGGGATCAAAAAACACCTCCAAAAAAGTATAAGGAAGTTACAAAAAAGAAAATAAAGTCCTACAGGGTAAAAGAAGCAACGGCTCAATACTTCCAAGAAGAATAGTGGGCGGGGTGGCCGAATGGGCTAACGTGTTGTGCACAGCACCACCGTTGCTCAGCAACGTGATATTGGACAAATGTGTTATAAAAATAGTGATGAGTTCGTGTCCCGGTGCCAAGGTGTCTTTTAAATCCCCGCCCATACCCTCTGGCCCGGGAAAACCCCGTATAGCCTTAACGGCGAAGAAGGGGAGAACCCAAAAAAAAAAAAAAATCGAAAGGCTTTTTTTTAAGCATGTTTGCACAGCTCTGCTGTAGTCCGGCAACCTGATATATGAGATAATTGATAAAAATAATGACGAGCTGAAGTCCTGGTGCCATGGTGGACTTTGAAATCTGGCATTAATTTCCTGCCCTCACTCCCTGGCCCGGGAAAACCCTGTATAGCCTAAAAAGACGAAGGACAAAAGAAAAAAAAAAACTTTCAAGAAGAAGTAAATAGAATAGTGATGACATAAAGTAGAGCTGGACATCATTCAAGAAAATCATCTTTTATGCTTCTAGAATGTAACGTTGAGAGAAAAGGGCAGGATCTGGGTTCAAAGAAGTCTATGGTGGACTGATAATGTGAAGAAGATTTGGGAAAAGAAAAAAAAAAATAGAGGAACTTCCTCAGCAGCCAGAGAATACCTACAATCTATGAGAGGTATAAGCTAAGAAGGAAGGAGGTCGAGATAAAAGTTCTTCAAACCAAACAAAAGTCAAGAGAAGATTTTGGTGACAAAATAGAGAAAAATGCAAAAGAAAACCAAAAGATCTATAAAGTCATAAAAGGAGGGATTTGATTATGTTAATGATTATAATTTATATTTAAACATTGGGGATCAATAACGGGTCAAAGAGAATCAATATTAATGATTGTGGTATTTAGTTCTCTTTTTAGGCAATTGGCAATGGCATTTAGCTTATAGAATTGATGAACTTAATTTTCTTGGTTTGGCACTTAAGTCAAGTAGGTAGTAGGTTACTGTTGTTCAGTCTTCATTTAGGAAAAATAGAAAGAAGAGGAGGGACGATCAAAAACCAGTAACTAAGTATAATAAACATATTGATTGATACCAACAACAAAAAATATAAAATTAAATTCAAAAATACAAAATTGTGACATTGCATTTTGTAAATATATTAAGTAATAACAAATTCACATTTTATTTTGATAATAGCAATTCAGCATAAATATTTTGGAACATTTTAAGTAGGTAAAATAAGCATTAACATAAACACATTGCCAACCACCACTTAGTAAATTTATTACATAATCATTGGAAACAGACATATATAATAAAACAAAGAATAATAATATTGAAAAATATACGGTAAATACATTTTTAAAGTGAACTATAAATGATAGGTATTATCAACACACAAAATCAATAAGTTATTGATTTCCCAATTGATGGTCAAGCTAATAATGGAATAGTAAGAAAGTAGTGATGAGACACTCATAAATGTACAATATTCAATGATCAGTGTTACTAATTGTATTACTTGCCTTTTCCATTCTATTCAACCCTACTAACTCTGTATCTTATTCAGGAATTAGCATTACTTAGTGCTTTTAACCATTTCATAGCTACAACAACTGTACTTTAACCACAAAAATATAGTGGCTAGCAGCAGTCCTAAACTTAATAATGAAACCTTTAAGCGTACTCTTACTTTATAAATATAGAAGGAAATATACTAGCTTACCTTTTGCCTTGAGCACCAATTCTCCACAATTGACCACCTTGGCATCTTGGAGAGGGCGGCTAAGTCTGTCAACTGGCAAGGACTCAACGTGCTTCACAACTGCAGATCCAGACACCACTTCGCCAAACACACAGTGCACACTAGAAATATTTAAATAGAATAATTGCAGTTATTTAACAATGGAAAATTTATAAAATCAATTTGGCTTCTAAATATTATGTTGGAACACTGTTAATTTCTAGGGTATGAGGTAAATAAAAGAATAATAAACTTGAACAATATTATTTTTATTCTGAATAACTTATATAGCTTTTAGCAGATAAGTTAGGATTACTCAATGGTACATGTAAACTCTAAGATGATTAAGAGATACTTTTATTTCTTGAGTATATTGATTGATTCAAAGCCAATATTTTTCTTCTAGAAACAAATAAAAAAGCTTTTTGGGTATTGGGGAAAATATATTGAAGGTAATGGAAGCTATTTTTAACAAATTAAAGGTTTGTTTGTTTAGGTTAAAGTTTGTGTTTTGCTTTCTCAAAATTTGGTATTCATGTGAACGGATACCATTTTTATGTTTTTAGAATCAAAAATTTCCCCTTGTGTTTTACATTTTAGATATAAAATTCTGTTCCATGCATGTCTATCAATAGTCAAATCCATGCGAAGAGCTACCACTATTCAAATGAAATATTCAGACATTCTGCTGGTTGTTACCTAGATATTTAATCATACCTGTCCACTTATTTTGCTTAGGTGTGCAGTTTTCTTTAACAACACTACACTATACTTTAAAAATGATAGACTTGTAATATAGATAATCTTATTATTCATAAATAAGGAAACTTAATTGACTTTACTTGGCAGACTTAATATTTTTTTCCTCATACCCTAGGAACAGATATTTCAAATGAGTTCCTCAAAAAAAAAAAAAGTTATGAGCTAAAATCTATAGGTCTATATAGGCTCTTAATTTATAATTTTGGATACGCTCCCCTCCCCCATCGAATATGGATTAAAAAAAAAAAAATAGCAAGTAGCAAGGATTCAATTCCCCGACTGGATCAATTATTATTTATTGTCCTAAGGAGGTTAAGATCTTGATCAGGGATCTCTAAACTTTTTGACCTGCAAGCCACATTGACACCTCCACTACGTCCCATTATTTTTTTTAATGTTTATTTCATTCACATATTTTTTTCAATGACATCATTGAAAAAAAAATTAAGTTAAAAGTGACAATAACAAATTAAAATTTTTTTTTCATTGAAACAACAAAAAAAGAAGAAAATATTTCCATTTTAAACTGTTACCAAAGCACAACTAGGATTTATATCAGGGAGTCAGCTGCATTGCAATTAATTAAATTTTCACAATATAAATTAACACAATCGCTGGCAAGCAACAATTTAAAAAATGGCCCTACCACGCACATCTCCAAATACCTTCAAAGAACATGAAAATACTAGGAGTTTGATCGTATATGGCGTAAGTAAAACAAAAACGTTCTACAAATTAACTTGTAGGTGGCCTCTACTAGGTAACTTCGTACTACAAAACAACTTGTAGTTGGCAGGGACAGTGTTAAACATTTTTTTTTTTTTAAATCTAGTCAAAATGTTCAGAGTTTATATTAACCATTCATAGATTTGAACTAGTAAATAACAATAAATTATTAATAATAGAAAATACTGAATAATAAAATAGTTACTTACCCGTCGAGGTGTGGAGCAGCCTGTGTTGTTCTACAACAAAACATGGTTAACAGAGTTAGAAGTCACTACTTCGTCACCGGACTCTAGTAACAGAGCAAAACCTCTTAGTATCAAGATATTTAACAGAGGCATAGCTACTTTCTTTCTCTTATCCTACTATTATAAAGCATTCTCCAAAATATTAGTTTTATATAGGGTGCTCTTCAGTATGTTTAATGTTTAGTGCAAACAAATTGAATTCAAAAATATTTAAAACATGAGACTTTTCAAGTACATTTAATTACTAGGGATGAAAACAAATTAATAGATTGTTATAAATTAGTGACAAAATAATCAAGAGACAGAACATAAATATTGGGTTATTATTGGAAAAATTCCAAATCACACATCCTCATGTCGACATAAGGCTTTGTGTTTTGGAATTTTTCCAATAATAACCAAACAAATTAATAGATATCAAGTGAACTAAAAAATTTTGATATGCTCCATACTCCAAGGAAGTAGTTAACGAATTTTTTTTCATATAAAATCAACAAGATTATAATAAAACATAAAAAGACATCTTAAAAATCTATGTTTTTTTTTTTTTTTTTTTTTTTTTTTTTTTTTTTTTTTTTTTTTTTTTTGTTCTTCCCTACCTCGCCTTTTAGGCTATACGGGATTTTCCCTGGTCGGGGGGTGAGGGCGGGGAAATTTAAAATCCCCTCCGGCTCCGGGACGCGAACTCGTACTTTTTATATCATCTCAAATCTCTGTTATCCGGTTGCCAGGCAACTAGCGGTGCTGTTACACACGCTTTAGCCTATTCGGCCACCCCGCCCCCAAAAATCTATGTTAATGATATTACTTAATTACTTAATAAATTTTGATGAAAAAGTACTTATAACTCTTAAAACAGCCGAATCAATTCCTTATTTGAATTTGATTGATTGCTTTTGTTGAGAAATTACCAACTACAAATTGATTTAAGTAATTAAAGAGGCTAATAACATAAACTTTGTGGAAATAGGTATGTTTTAATGATTAGGGAACAGTATTTCCATGTTCACTTTACCTTGCTGAATTTTTAATATCTTAATTTACTTTAAAGGTAGCTGAAAAGTAATATCATTAACATAGATTTTTCAGCTACCTTTAAAGTAAATTAAGATATTAAAAATTCAGCAAGGTAAAGTGAACATGGAAATACTGTTCCCTAATCATTAAAACATACCTATTTCCACAAAGTTTATGTTATTAGCCTCTTTAATTACTTAAATCAATTTGTAGTTGGTAATTTCTCAACAAAAGCAATCAATCAAATTCAAATAAGGAATTGATTCGGCTGTTTTAAGAGTTATAAGTACTTTTTCATCAAAATTTATTTTGAGTGATTAAATAAAAAGGAATGATCAGTTAATTTTAAAACTTTAAATCGATTAAAAGGATATCAATCTACATTTTTTTCTTCTCATTGAAAAAGTACAAGAAAAAAAAAGAGAAAGAGAAATGATTGATTTAATTGATATTAAAGAATTGTACACATCAGTCAAACATAAATCAATTCATATCCCCTAGGTGGCCTAGATATTGTATGTGTGTTAAAAAATATGATTAAATGATAAATTATATGATCAAATATACTGTGGATTCCCATACAATGCAAGCGATACTTAATTTATTAAGTTATTTTATATCTTAAAATAAAAAATATGGTAATGTAGAAACAAACAGTTAAATTCTTCCAACATATATTATGGAATTCCACTGTATATATTTTTTGAAAGGATCGTAGAACATTAAAATTAACAATACTTATGTAATTGTTTAAAACTGTTAGAATAATGAATAATTGATCATAAAATATTGTTCTCCTAAAAATATAGAACCAAATTAATTTCACCTCACCAGTGTTGAGTGCTTACATGAAAAATTGGGATCCATTAGTGTTTTTACCCCGGTTTGCCATCGACAGTAAAAATGGCCTATCATGTTTGAGGTCCAAATTCTCATCTAAAACATCATCCAAACTTAAATGTATGTTAAAGTAAACACTTTTAAGACATTGAAGAACTTATTTAAGTAATTCAAATAAAGGAAATATACATATATTGAAATAACAACTTGAATAGAATAAAGTAAGATAAATAACAAACCATCAAAAGTTCCACCATAAATTGATTCTCCACCAGTCCCATTTCCAACAGTGAAATCACCACCTTGGATCATAAAATCTTTGACAACTCTATGAAACACAATTCCCTTGTAATGGAGTGGCTTCATACATTTTCCTATGCCCTTTTCTCCTGTGCATAGAGATCTGAAGTTCTCACAAGTAATTGGACACAGATCAGAATACAACTGGAAGACTATTCTTCCTATAGCTATACCACCAACTTCAACGTCAAAGAATACACGAGGCCGCACTTTCTTCATTTTTTTCTTTCTAAAAATAAATTGATAATATATTCATCAAAGTTATTTTATCAATTTGAAGTTCCTAAAATATTTTAAATGGTAATTTTAGGTAGGTAGTGTTAATACAGGCTTTGTTCCTGCAAAATACCAAAAACCGCTAATCAGCAATCAATGTGATTAGAACTATCAATGAAACATAATCTCCTTGAATGAAATGTTATCATGTTATGTTAGCATTTTTTAAAATTTAAAACCAAATCAAACCCATTAGTTGTTTACTTCCACTAATGTAGAGCATACCGTTTCTTTATTTCTTGAAAGAGCAGAAATTAACAACTGGCGTTTACATTAAACTATCAAAATTTAAATATTTAATTCAGTATTACTCAAGTTTTGGGTAATTATTGTAGTGTTAGACCAAAGACAATTTTTGCTTTATGATTAAAGCAAAGCACACTGGTATAGTTATCTCAAAAGCACTCCAAGATTTCCCTATTCTCTCAAGTGGAAATTGGCAGTTATGAATTCCCTAAAACTATAAAATTGACAAAAAATCGAAATATAGGTGAATGATTCAATATTTGGTTGGTAATACATTAATCACACGTCTGAATTAATAATTAATGAATCCCCCATCCAGTCTCTGAAGGCCAGAAATAAAATACATTAATTCATATTTTAATCAATACAAAATATGGCAACTAACTGAAAAATTATGGCAGAAGACAGAGCAAGTAATGAAAATTGTAAATATTTCAAATAAGAAAGAAAAGGCAGATTTGTCTTAGTAATATATATATTTAAAAAAAAAAGAACCCTACAGCAATTCCAGAAACTATATTGATTAGAGTATTTTAGTTTTGATATATGCAGAGGCAGAATAGTAGTATTCTGGAATAGAGACAAGTGGTTGTATATTTTTAAAAATATTCATTCATACACTCAATAAAACTACATGATTAGAAATTTTATCAGTGTACTAGTTCCATTTTGCTACTTTAAGATGGCGCCCAGTTCTATGATCACCCGGAGCACGCTGTTCCTAAATTCCCAAAAATGTCTGAATCTGTCCAGAAGTAGGAGTCCTCAACCCATGGTAGTTAGTACATTATAGTGCATCTAAGTGAAGTTTGAGTGTAAGGGAAGGAAGCTCTTCAGCTTTCCCCACTCAAGTTCATCTCTCTCCAGCTCCACTTCCCCTCTTCACCATAGCAACCACCTAATACCGGGAAAGCTTTATTCCATTTTCTTCGAATGTTTATTAAAGATAGGGATTTTAATTAATAAAATAAAACAATGAAAAGGACGGGGTTAAATAATCAAATGAGAAAAAAATGGATATGAATTCTCGAGGTCTACTGTTCACAAATGTTATTAATAGGATCTATATATCTAAATTTAGGAAGAAATAGAACGTAAAAAAAAAAAATCAAGAAATAGATGGAAAATATAGAACAGAAAAGAATGCAATACTACGTTATTGGATATTCAATAATGTGGAGGAGCCTTTTTCATTCACTTCTTTATGTAAACAAAGAGAATTGTCCACATTATGTATTATTTTAGACTGTATTGTATTAGCTCGAATCAAATGAATTGTAATATGTAAACAGCCTATCTTTCTGTGAATCATTGTAGGAAATAAGAAAAAAATGATAAAAGCAATTTCTACTTGTAAAAATCAATTTGAAATATGTATAAATGAGTAGAGAAGAGAAAAGAGTGAGGGCTAGCGGAGAAAATGTTTTGCCACTACACATCTCTCTCTACCTCTGCTCACCCTCATACTTATCTTAGATAGAGTCTACCTAACATTGTAGAAGGGAAGTATTTAGTCAAATATATACAATGTTTGCATTAGATTAGATCAGATCTAATTAATTTATCACATGAATCAGATCAACACCCATTATTGTAATAAAAGCGTGAGCCGAATTCAAAATTATTGTTACCAATTGCTGGAAGTGTCACTGCTTCTTAGAAAATTAATGTAGCATGTTAAAAGTATAATTTAAATAACTACAACAGTTTAACTTTAATAAATACTAAGATAAAATTTGTTTATGATTTTTAAATTTATTCTAAATGGCCAGTAATAGTTAAAATAATGAAAAGAATATATAATTTGTAGAATGGAAATCTAAATAGGATTATTTTCATTATTGTTCCGATTAGAAATTTTTCAGCAGACCAAAACTTTCCTTAGTTAGAAAGGCGTTTCCTTGTTCCTATTTTTATAACCTAATCAATACATGTTAGATGAAAAAACTCTGTCACGTTATGTTAATAGGATTGTAAATACAAGGCTATTTTCACCATTCCTGGAGTATCTGGGAATAGCATGCTTTGGGTAATCTTGAAAATGGCTGCAATCTTGGAGTGAAAATTATTTAAGTGATTTAGTACCAAAATCATTTATGGAATTGTCAGAAGAACCACCAAGCCAAATAAAAGTACTCAACAATAATTTTTCCTTGAGAAACATATCTGTAAAACTGATGAATGATTTTTAGTATAGTTTTAAAAGTTTAAATAGAGATAATACAAAAATCATCTAAAATTGCAATAAATATGCTTTCTTATACAGAACATTAATAGAAGAAAACATCAGATATACAAAGAATCTTACTGTAGCAGTTTTATATTTTATACTCAATTCGATCTCAGTACATATTCAAATTGATTATTGATTAGACATGATGATAGGTAGTAGATAGAGAAAAAAATAGAGTGAGTGGTATCAGTGTAGTGAGATTTGTAATCTAGTAGTTAAGTAAAACTTTTAATAGTTTAGTTCGCCTGCCGCTTTGACTGCAAGCTGTGAGGTTCCGATGAGTTACATAAAGTATGTATATGTCGGCAAAGTTGATTTGAACTGCTTCTATAATAAGCCTACTGAGGTCTGTGTATTTGCCCAAAGAAGTTGGGCACAGAAATACCTGAAATGTAGCTATTACCGAAGAAGTAAAAACCTAATGAAAATATTGTTTATTTTTATTTCAAGACATTAATTTAATTTCTATAGAAGAATTTTATTTTGTTTTGTTTATTTCATTTTTGAAGAAAAAATATTTGGTACTAGTTCACAATAACTTTGATCACGCTTGTTCATGAAATGCCGAAAACAGTCAAACGTTATGACGTCAGCTTTCGAGCTAACCACACATTTCCATTAGACACGATTTTGAAAAACCTTCGTATTCACAACATGAAACTTCCTTATTAAAAATTGATTTACAAATTTGTTAATTATTGATTTTTTAATGGTAATTAATATGGTAGAAATATAATGAAAATATATAAAATTATGTTTGAGTGGTCTTGCAAGGCCCGTTTTAGCAATAAAATTTTAGTTGGTACATGCTTACATATAGTAGCTGCATAAATGTGTTTACTATCGTAAGATTTATTTTATCTTTTAGATAATAAATACTTTGAAGTTATCTATTATGTTTTTATTTGTTATTTGAGTTTTCAAATATAAGTTGGAATAATTGATTTTAAAAGTTCTTTCAGGCTATTGTAGAATTGCGCAATCATCTATCTTATTCATACAACTTTTTGGATTATAGTCAGTTGAAAAAAATAAAAAAGTATTGTGTTTATTTGGATGATTATATTTGAGGAAGGAATAAACGTGTTGGAAAAAACAGCTGACAAAGAATATCTGAAAATTACAAGATAATGAATGATGGAGATCATCAATAAAAAAAATTAAATAGCCTGAAACAGCATTCAGTGATATAATAATTACATGTTTTTATCTATTACTATTTCTTTTCCAAAACTGTATAATATAAGTATAAGTTTCATTAAGATTACTTAATTTAGCCTAAATGTTGACTGTAAGTCGGCTCATGCTGTATAACTGTACATGGATAAAGATAAAAAAGTACTTTAATGGCGGGAAGGTTATTAGTAACTGAATCAAGAGATCAGTCGCCTTCGTTCTCTTTCGGATAAATCCGTACGCATTCAGTACTCTATGAAAAAGTGTGAACAAAATGATTGTAAACCACGCATAATTCGTGCAGAACTCATGTGAACTAGTACCAAATATTTATTTCGACAAACAGTGTAATAAAGTTAGTGTTTTTTTTTTTTAGTTTGAGAACTTTTAACATTGATTTATTTATTAACCAATATCCCAAACTGATATTAAATTAAAATAAACAAAATTAAATGTAGATAATAACCATGTAAATACACAAGAAGAAATATGAAAACCGTTCAAGTTTACAGAAATTAAACTGTAACTGTTTAATAATAACAATGTGGTGTAATTACAGCAGAACAACTTGTTTCAATTATGAAAATAACTTATTACATTACTAAGTTTAAGTTGACAAAGTAACATGGTTAAACATATCGACGGTTATTGCAAAAAGTCACTAGGTGCATTTTGGATAAGAATTAACTTTAGATATGTTTATGTGCACTTTGACCATATTTATACAAAAACGATGAAGCACATGAGAATAACACAAACACTTTTACATATCTTGGTAGTACTAAATACAAAATCTTCTGATTTCATGGAGAGAAAAATCATGAAATTACAGTGATTAAATTTTATGGAATGAAAGAGGCATGCGGTATCTTATGATAGAAACAGCTTCATTATTATTAAACTTTTTAACATTTAGCTTTCGCTTACTAATAATTATATTCTATTATGAGACCTATAAACAAAAAAAATTAATAAAATAACAATGGTGTTATGAAAAAATCAATACTAAAAGCAATATATGACGATAAAAACTATGATTTATGTTGCATACTAAATTCCTCATGAAGATAATCTAACTATTCTAAGGAACTATTAATAAATAAGATTAGGAGAAACTGGAACAAACCTGATCTAATTATGAAACACTTACCTGGGTATTGAGGGTTAAAATAAACAAACTATTGAGTCATTAAAAAACAAATTTGTGAAGTTAAAATGAAACAAACGAATAGATGAAAATACCTATTCACTAGACCAAATAAAATTTAGGTGCATTAAAACATTTAGTACGGCTGATTGATAGCAACAGACACAATACGGTAGTTAATTTAATGGTAATTAAAAATGCACTTAATCCAAATAAAGGAAAAAACTGTAGCTTGATGAGCCACCACGTTATAATCGAACTGGTTAAAACAAACTAACTAAAACAGTTAAAAAACTAGAACTTACTCTAAAAATAAGTAACTAAATGCGGTACTCCTATAACCAACAACGATAAACACCAACAGTTCCTGCACTCACAATTAGCCACTGCAAAGCTTTTATCAGTGTAGCCATTTAACAGTTACAATTAAAATTATTTAAAAACGATACCACTTTGCTTAGATATTGTTTTTTAATTATCCGATTATTATGCACACAACAATAAATTACTTTATGAAATATATTTCAATAAAGTGTATTTTAAATAATTTTGAACATTTTTCAATGGGCGCGGCCCGCATAAAGAACAAAATTTATTCTTTAATAACTATATGCTATTTATATTTACGTTGGATTAATATATTCCATTAAATACATGAATTGCTAGTAATATTTTTTATTATTTAAACAATTGCCATTGTATCCAATTTCTTGGCAAATTATAGACATGGAGTATTCCAACTAAAATTAAACTATTGTTTACATAAAATTTATAGATTTGGTTAAATATACTCGTTAGAACTTGAATTTTATTCAAATCCCTCCATCACTAACTAATGAGAACCATCCAATTTTATTATTTAAAAAATGAATCTTTTAAATGCACCTCTAACTCTCTAACATCAAAAAAAGAGTCATTTATGATAATCGAATAAACCCCTAACATCAGCTTTTTTTCTGCTGAATGCGTAAATATCGTTTCCCTCCTGGCACATAGTCATGGTTAGGTAGTTAGATGTAGCAGCACTTTTATTAATCGGATTGAGTTTTTGAGCTTTGTCTTCAAAAACTAGATTAGGATTTGCTTAGAAAAACACCTTAAAATATTGAATATACGAACTCGCTAAAACAATGTGTTATTTATCACATAAAGTGAAGTTGGAAATCAATGTGCGTGCTGAATAACGTCAATAGTTGAGATTACTATCATATACTGGACAAAGCCAGTCAGAATCGAACCGGGATGGTCTTCATCAAGAGTTTCTGTGTTGTTTTATCAATACGTTTAGGTTCTATCATTGTAGGAATATCCTATTTTGTAAGTTTACTGTTTAATGATTTTCGCTAGAAAGCTTAAGTTATTATGTCGATGTTTCTCTTATGTCTAATTGTTAGAGTAAACAAATGTGGTAATACAATATAGTCATTTTCTATGTTTTTAATAGCTGGAATATGTTTTAGAACTTAAAAATCTGTTGTAATCCATCCGTACTGATCCATCCGTACTACTAACTGTAGTTAGTCCATCCGTAGTTAGTTGTAGTACTACTTTTCTATTCAAGGACCTCCTCGCTTAAAATAACGGTGTCATAAGACGGTAGGCTTAAGGTAAGCCTACTAATTTTGTTTTTTTGGCAGGGCCTTCTTTCTATTAAACTGAAGTGGACAGTAATACGAATCCTAATATGTTGAAGTAATTCAAGGTAATTTGAAGACGCGATTCTTTGATTACAGGACAAAGGCAAAAATTAATCAAATTATTAGTCTCGTCTTTAAAACGAATAAGCAGGAGTAGAACATTTTAATTCGTTGTCCTATGAAATTAATAAGCTTCCAATAATACATAATCTGAAAAATAAAACGGCAGTGTCTTCTAAAACCGTCCTAGACATGGATTATAAGGAATATTTTTAGCTGTTTTTGCTATTTGGTATCTATATCATATAAAAATACCCTCTTAAAGAGAATACTTTTACGCACTCAAAGGTAAATATATCAGATGGGATATGATAAAATTAATACTGAACATTTTTATCATGTCTCCAAATTCTCTTTAACTTTTGAGGCGAAATTTGATAGCAATTTTAAGAGTATCGGCACGTTAAAGCAAATAAGGCGAACAAGTGGATGGAATTTGATAAAATTTATACCGGATCTTCTAGACACCAATCCTAGTAAATAAAAAAAATGGATTAACAAAGGTAGGCGTTTTTGCCATCAAAATGATTTTGACTACAGGCAGATTGACGTGGAAATAAATACGTTCCCTGCTATTTAAAACGTAAAAGACAAGCGGACATTTTTGTGCTGAGGATATTTTTTATTCAATTCCTAAGTAGATAAAGAGCTTCTTTTTATATCTTGGACTAACGTGGAAACAAGATGACACGTGTGAATAATTTTACTGACTGCGTTACGTTCATGCATTATAGAGGTTATAATAATTATACATATAACACATTATTATATCAGAGATATGTATCTATATCTATGCAAAAAATAAATAAATAAAATAGATAAAACTAAGTTAAGTGACCTTTAATTTGAAAACTAGACAAGGAATCATTGAACAGAATATTTGATTTTAAAAAACCCTGCAACATACAGAAGGATAGAATAAGATATCAGGTATGTTTTTGATGTTTTAAAAATCGCGTCATTCAATCATTCAGTTTATAAATCCAGAACTAACTGGAGATAAACAACTTGACTCTTGGGTGTCAAAACAGAAATTCTTTCTGCCTTTTCAAATTAAAGAAATTTCTGAAAACAGCCGTGGCATTCATGAGGTTATCAATAAGTTTTTACCGGTGGACATATTTTGTTGTTATCTTGAATAAACTATAACCCTAACGATCAAAATATGTTCGTACGGTGTAAATAGACAGTCTTGACGTTTTTATAAATGCCACACACACTTTTTCAGAGAGATATGGGCGTTTTAAAAATTTATATTCAATAATGGATATATATATTCAATAATAGATAGTGACGTCCATGAGGCATAGCCCACAAAAATAAATATTTTACACCATTTGTAGCCTTTTTAAACTGGCACCAAAAAGGAACTAAAGAAATTTGTCAGATTTTTGAAAAGTTTGTCCTGTTGTCTGCTATATATTTTTGAAACAGTAGTGCATCGAATATACACTTTTTTTTTTTCTTATATTAATGGTATATCTTTTTAGATATTATCAATTTAATCAGATTTTATTCCAAACTTGGGAGAAAAAAAAGTAGAAAACTCTTAAAGCACTCACTTTAAAAACGTGCAATAACCATCGATGCATTTTTTTTTCTCATTGTAATTCAAGAAATCAGTTCAAACAGAGTGAACAATTTTAGTTACGATTAATTTAGTACAGAACATAGAAACTTAGCACCGACACCGAGATAATGTTCCCTAACTTATTATGCTGTTTGCATTTGCTATAATCCCCCCTCCGAGACCAAACTAGCCATGCAATATGTTCTCCTTCCAAGCAATAGGCCTTATCTTCAGCATGTTTGCAAACTTCTTACAACAATACACCTGTAAAGAAGCATGACCAGATGGTAACATAACCAAAACCTAGTCATTGTTCCAAAACATAAATTCTCTTTGGAATATTAGTCCACATTCATTCACTTCGTCGATTAGATTTCTGTATTTAAATATTATATTTAAATTACCTGTTGTCAAAATTAAATCTAGTTAAGAACAATTTTAAAATCATAGAACCTAACCATGAAGTATTACTTACCTCTTGAATTTATCTTCTGTTTTCATCTTTACTTTTCTTTGAGGTTTCGAGACTATATTATTAAGTTTTTTTGTCTGGATAGACTTTCGCCCAATGGCCATTTTGTTAAAGACAGTTACGATCAGTTTTAGTTATAAAAACAATAAAAAACAAAACAAGACGTATGAAAAGACTTGGTGAACGATTTGATGGTACACACAAACAACTTATATATTTAACATATGGAATAAAAATCATTAAAATAAAAGAAATTGGTTAAACCAAGATATTATTCTTTTATCACATCTTGATTTTTTATGTTTTAATACAATTATTAATATCATCTAGCAGTTCTACCAAAATAAATCTATGATGTAATACAAAATTAAATACTTAAATTATTCTTTTGACATTTAAATAAAGTGTTTGATATAATAGTCCGTGGTACAGACACCTTTGTATCAAATCATTAACATTCGGCTGAAACTTCCCAAATAGTTTCATCTCATCGTAATCTACAAATATTTTATTCTTTCGAAAAATCTCGGAATTGGGACGTTTTCAATCTGGAGATCGGCATATTTGTCAATTTAATTAGGTACTAAAAAGTCGTAAATACCCATTTACTTTCTTTCCACTTAGATCATAAGATAATTTGATCACAAAATAGATATAAAGGCGACCATCAAAAATATTGGACCGTTTGGCCTATATAACCTCGTTATTTTGAAAATTTGGAGGTATGGGTCACGCCAAACGGCTCAATATTTTCGAAGGTCTCCTTTTTTATTGACTTTGTGCTAAAGTTATCATATGATTCAAGTGGGTATTTATGAGTTTTTAGTACTTAATTAAATAGCAAAGTTTGCCGACCTCTATTGAGATTGAAAACGCCCCAAGTCCGAGAATTTTAGTAAATAAAATATTTGTAGGTTACGATGAGATGAAGCTATTTACGAAGTTTCAGCCGGGTGTTAATAATTTGATTAAAAGGGGTCTGTCCCACGGGCTATAAGAGTACTAGCTGACCCGTGCGAATAATTCGCTCAGTATATTGGCCAATGAACAAATGACAAAATAAGTTAGTGCAATCTATCATAAGACGAAGGCATCAATTATTGAAGTGAAAATTTCTTTAGGCGAGGCTTTGAAATTTGTTTGTGGTTAGTAAATGAGACTGATACTCGGATAAGTAACGCTTATTCGGGCCAAGTCGGCTCGTGTTGACTAATTGTAGTGTTTTTGCATTAGAATTAAATATCACAAAAACAAAAAAAAAATCGAATCTGCATACTGCAAGCGACGGAAATTTTCACCCTCTTTGTAATGAGTTATTATTCTTGTGTATGAGCGTTGACTAGTCGTTAATAAGTTGAGATTTTATTGACTAATGACCTTTATTTTGGTTTCCTAATTTTAATACTATTAAGATTTATTTCTATATTACATAGAGTGCTACCAATGGGTAGTTTCTCAACATGTGTTCCATGTCATATATCCATGTGCGAATTTACCAGCTGTATTTTTTGTATACAGTTGTAAATATCATATAAATAAAGAAATAAATAAAATTCTATATTACAAAAAATAAAAATAAATGGATTAATTTTGGTTGGTGAACAACGGATGCCCCCTCCCACAGAATTCTACGCCCATGCGATTTTCCCGTCTCCAATTTGATTGTCATTTAAAAAAAAAAAAGTTTCATAAACAAGTATATGACTGTAGTCTCATTATAGTTTTCTAGCAATTTTATACTTTTTAATATTGAAACACATATTCAATGATGTTGATAAATAATTAATAATTAGTTCTTATTAAGTAATAAATAATTAAGTGATATGTAACTAATTTTAATTATAAAAGAGTGATAATTATAATAGAAGGAAATAGGATGTAGATTAGCAGCAGTCAGTAGAGTCTATTATAAGAAGCAGATTTTTTATGTCGAAGTCGAAAATAAGACTATACAAATGTCTTATAAGACCAATAGCGACTTATGTCTGCGATAATGAAACTTGGCATCAGCGCCGAAATTCGGAGTTGTATGGTGAATACCAGGATTTGAGTATCTCCAACTTCGCCTGGTTGCAGAGACTGAAACGGATTGGACACGTTATCAGGATGGAAAACTACATGTGTTCTCTAAAGGCATACCTGAAGAATACGCCAGGTGCCACAAGACCCAGGGGAAGACCCAGATCACATTGGCACGATGGTGTTCTCACTGACATGCGGCAGGCAGGAATGTGCACATGCTCCAGATTGAACTGATCAAGGATAACTTTATGCGCTTGTCGCGCCATTAAAGAATAATAATAATTATAATAAATATATTAATTAATAATTTATATTCTATAAATCAATATATAAATGGTATTAATGAGATATTGTATTTATATTAACATATTATATAACATATATTTATTAATTAACATATTAAGCTAATTGTAATAACTAACAATGATTAATTTATAACAAGATATGTTATTTATAAGTAACGATCAATCGATAAGTAATTAATATAAAAAAATATACAATAGCGATATATTAATGTAACGTTTGTACGTTTTTTTATTGTTTTTTTTTTTTATTGAACTATGATACGTTTACGTTCTATATATTACATTCTATAAGAAACTTCATTTATTGAATTATAATACAATCAGCCACTGTTGGATGGCTATAAGTATTAAGGCTAAAAGTTCTCATTCATACAATATACATAAATAACTATAAATATAAAAAGTAAATAAATAAAACTGATAAAAACGTAAAGAAAAAAAGAAACAAATAAAATAAAATAAAAACTTCTAAAAACATTCATACCTATATACAATATATAAATTCGCCCAGGAATCTCCAAGCCAGGTTTTCCCTCACATGTGGAAGGCAAAGCAAGACTCTAGGAGATCCCAGTGCCACTTTTCCAGCCGCTTCACTAGTATTAGAATGTTTTCAAATATTTAAAATTAACATAACATTGTCAAGTATCACTAAACATTAATCCTTTTCACCATTATTTTTTATTCTATTATTTGGACTTTGTGATTTCTAGATCGAGGCATTCATATGTTTCATATTTGCAGTCACATGGATAGCTGCAGATCCTGCCAAAACGGAACATTTTGTAAAAGAACTCTTGGATGAATCGGAACTCCTTCATTTTTCAGATGTAATCGATAGGCTAACAAAAAGTAAGACAAAAGGATAAAATAATTACAATATTTTAATCACGGAGAGACTCAAAAACAAATTAAAAAAATATATATATATACATTTTATGTTTTTAGATATTCCATTTAAAATATTTACGCTGATAACGTTGTATTTTCAGACCCATCACCATTTAAAGAACTGGCACTGGCAATATGTTGTGTTAGGCTACTTGTCTGCCTACTGCTCGTATATGGCGCCTACTATGTGAGTACAGCTTTTATTTTTATCTATATAAATAAAAATGTTAATGTTTGTTTGTATGTAACAGCTAATTTCCGGAAGTTATTCACCGATTGCTTCGAATTTTCGATACAACGTTTTTATCGAATTCAAGAGTGTTTGTATATATACATTAAATTACCATTCGGCCTTTCGTTTCGGAAAGGCAGCCGAAAAACGTGTGATTCTATGGACTGTAGCACCTAAACGACTGGAACGACTTATTGAAACTTTGCTAAAGTCTTCTTCTTAAAGCTTTTTTAATTTATGTGATATCATGCTTCCACGAAAAGAGCATGAAAAGAAGTTACGATAGATCCATTATTATTATTTTTTTTTTTGTTTCGTAATGGAATACGTCCAGATATAAGATATAAAACGTTTTCTAAAATAGGTAGGAAGGCCGTGTGAGTGGACACACCAGATTTTATTTTAAGAATTATTCTTGATACATTGTTATATATTTTTAAGCAATAATACTATCTAAAGTTTGGTTTCTTTATAAATTATCTTTTAACAAATAGAATAATTTAAAAAAAAATTAGATTTTCAAGTAAAAAAAAATAATAATGTGACCAAATACCCAACATCTTGAGTTTATTATGTAGCAGAGTTCATTATAAAACAAGAACAAAAAGAAAAAAAATCATGATTATCCTTTTCTGTTTAAAAGATATTTAATTTATCGTGGAAATCTGCATTTTGTTTCTAAATTACGCTTAATTTCTTTTCCTCCTTCGAATAAGCATTTTGCAGCATTTTTTAAAAATATACTGCATATCAATTGTCAATGTATTGCATATCAACATAACAATTGATATGATTTATTTTTCATCGGCAAAGAAATTAAATTTTTAGAACTGAACTATGAAAATTGCAGTAATCCAAAGATTTAAGTGACTTTGAAATCTAAACCATTAGATATAGACCAAAAAAACCGAAACAAAAAAAGTATGGTTACTTCAGGCATAGACTAGATCACCATAGTATCATTAAAATCTGAGATGTTAGGGGTCATGGTCTGATTAAGCTTACATGAAATGACACAGTACATACTTTAATGAAAAATTTGGAAATAAAAGAAGAAAACCAACGTGGCCAGGAACATATGCGTGGATTATGCGACACGTCAACTAAGCAAATGCTCCCAGAGACCCCTAGGTGATAATATATTTTAACTTTATGATTTTGGAAGTGACCTAAAACGTTCATAAAACTCTTTACATGATAACCGAACAAATCTATATACAAAACGTTAAATTAATTGATCTCATAGCTCGCGAAACAGACATCTTTTTGACAAATGATTAACATTAGTAAGAACTTCGTGAACGAAAATTCTCAGAAATGGGCGTTTTATCATTCAATGAGCTAGTTTAACAAGGTACTAAAAACTCATGAACACTCATTACCTTGTAATCTCCTTATTTTGACATGTTGGAAGTGGAGGTCACAACAAAAAGGCCCAATATTTTCGTATTCCACATTGTTTTCTGGAATTCGTGATCAAATAATCTTACAAATCAAGTGGAAAGCAAATGGGTGTTCAGGAGTTTTTAATATCTCATTTAATCGACAAGTTTACCGATCTCCAGATTAAAAACGCCACATTTCAGAGGATTTTTGTAAATAAATAAGTTGTTGGTTGCGATAAATGAATCCATTCATGAGATTTTTGGCAAGCGTTGATAATTTGATAGATATGGGTCTATTTCGCGGATTATAGTGGTAGTAAAGTAAAAAAAAATTCTCATCCGGGACGAATAACAACCAAAGGAAAACCAGAGATGTTCAGGATTCAAGGCAGAGTAGAGTGATTTGTGTTGAAGCATTTACTGATCTCCAGATTGAAAATGCAAT